GAGACTGAGGCACCAAGTGGGCGCAGGGAACAATCGGGGTCTCAGCTGCTGCACCCTCCACCTTCCTCTCTGCCCGTCTCTTCTATTCTTCCTATTTAGCCTCAACAATTTTTGTTTATTTTCATTTTTTTAAGATAAGGTCTCAGGTAGCCCAGGCTAGCCTCCACCTCACTGTGGCTGAAATGACCTTGAACTCCTGATCCTCCTGCCTCCATGCTCTGCATTCTCTGTCTCATTTTTGTCTTTCTCTGACAAAGTCTCACTTTCTATGCCAGGACAACCCCAAACTCGCGGCAACCCAGCCCCCGCCCGCCCCCGCTTTTGGCTCCCTCCTTTTCTGTCTCTCCAGGTCTGTGCCCGCCTGCCCACCCCCTCCCGCCCCTCCCCCCGGGCCTGGCAGGTGCAGCCCGGGCTAGGTGCCCACGGCTGGCCTCCCGGATTTGTGTGGCTGCGATTCTTTTATCTGCGTCTGCAGCTGGGTCCTTATCTCGGGGCTGCAGGTCGGGAGCAGGGGGATTAGAGCAGCCGGGGCCAAGCGGGTGGCGGAGAGCCCGCACCCCTGCGAGTGTGTGCGCGTGCGCAACACGGCCCGCGAGCGAGCAAGCCCGCCTCGGGCCCCGCCCCCTCCCCGCTCCGGTCAGGAGCGGTTCCCCAGGTGGCCCGCCTGATGCGTTTCCCACCTTCCTGACCCTAGACCCCGCGGGGACCCGGCCTTGACCCCTGACCCAGGGCTGTCGATGGCCCCCAGGGTAACAGCCCGGTCCTGTTTTTACCATCCCCGCCTGGATCTGCAGTCCGCCCCTTCCTGCCGCCCACGGGCCTCCAGGGTCCCCCCACCTCCACCAGAGAGAGAGTGAGCCGGAGGCCCCGCTGCGGCTCCCACACTAAAGCCACAGTCACCCCAAAGTCCCAGACCCAGTGCTGCAAACCGTGGAGGCGGGAGGATGGGAGAGTTCCGGGCCAGCCTGGGCTACAGAGCAAAGCCTTGTCAGAGGTCACCGTGGGGCGGGGCTCAGTGAGTAGAGCCCTCGCTGGAATGGCCGAGGCCCTGGTTCCATCAGGAGCACCTCAAAGACCAGCACAGGGAATATGCCCGGAGGACCAGGAGTTAAGTTCGGGCTAGCCTGGGCTACAGTATGGGCTCCTTTCTCAAAAAAAAAATGGAAGTCCATATTAGAAGGGAAGCTCAAGGGCACTCCTGTCATATAGAGGGTATCCAAGGCTAGGTCCGGAACACACCTAGGAGCTATTTCACAGATGGGGAAACTGAGGCTGGGCAGTCTCTGTCACCTTGACACCACACGCACTGCAGGATGGTGCATGTGAAGGTAACAGTCACACGAGGTGGCCCAGGGGGACAGAGGACACACTGAGTTCCCAGGCACCTTCAACCCCCGCTGGGCTAGTCCCTGGGGGACCCCCTGGGGGTCCAGCCCCCACCGGCTGAACCTGGACCACATCCTAACGCTAAAATGGAAACTTACCCACCAGCCAAGTTCATGTTTTGGCCCGAGGCCGCCAGCCTCCCAAGCCTTGGTCTGGGTCTCCACCCAAGAACAGAGTGCTTTCCCTGGGGAACGGCGGCCTCCAGGAGAGGTCAGACCGGCCCCAGAGCAGGAGGAGATGGGTGGGTGGACAGGGCGGGACGCTCTGCGAAGTCCCCAAGCCACAGCTCTAGCTGTGTGACCCAGACCTGCTGCATAACCTCTCTGAGCCTCAGGTTTCACAACCACCCAGTCTGTCACCAAGCAGGCCGTGTGGCAGGGCAGCGGGCGTTGCTTGGAGATGTGGGAAGAAGAAGGAAGTCCACCGGGGTGCGGTGGGAGCCACGGCCCCAACTCAGGTTCTGGCACCTCAGTGGATCAAAGGGCCTGCACATGTCCGAGCCTCTTTGAACCTGTTTCCCCATCACCGGGTTCCACCCCACAGTCGTCCCCCTGGTGTGGGACATAGTCCTACGTGGCCTGCGTCCGGAACCAGAGGACTTAACATGAGATCCTGCAAACACCCCCAGCCTAGCCCTGAGCTCAGCCTCCCGGACAGGACGGCTGTGGCTCTGCTCTGAAGGAGGTGACCAACGGTGCTGGTCTCCATGGAGCACCTCGCTCAGCCAACAAGATCCCGGTGGGGGATCGGCCTCACCTTAGCTGGGGGTGGAGAATTCGGGAAGGAGAGGGATGTGTGTGTGTGTGTGTGTGTGTGTGTGTGTGTGCGTGCGCGCGCGCGCCCCAGTTCCCAGCTGAGGTGTGCCAGTATGACAGGGCCTCTGTTTGTTGCCCTGTCTGGGGGGTGACAGCGTGTGGGTGACCTTGGAGGCTGTGGGGATAGATGGCACCTGTGTTTCTGGTGTGACCACGTCCAGCCCTGAGTGAGGCAGCCACTTTGTGTCTCTGAGGCTGATGAGATCCCCGTGGGTGTGTCTGTAACAAACCACATGTCCCAGAAATGGGGTCATAGGTGGGTGCAAGTCCTGTGTCCTCACCTTCTGCTCTTGTCCCGCCCGCCGGTGTCAGCTCCACCCCTGCGCCCCCATCCCAGAGGGGAAGCCGGGTCTTTCAAGTTGCTGTTGCCAGGGCAACCATTTTATGAGCGTCCACATGGTGGGCACATGTGTGTGTCCCGTTCCCCATGTGTCTGCCTGCCCCACCCCCAGTCACGGCTGGGCCGGGTGAGCAGAGGTGGCCACAGGGTGGCTGGTGACAGCTTCATGGTGGCTGGCCCAGTAGGGTGAGCTCTGGACAGCTGTGTGCGCAAGGGGCCCCCCACGTGTGTGGTGTGTGTGCCTGCCGGAGCTGTGGGTTTTTCTTGCACACGTTGCATGTTGTGTTAGTGTGTCAGCGTGGGCCTTTGCACCAGCGATGGATGTGACAGAGGACACGGACAGGGAGCAGCTGTATTGTTTGTGTGGACTGGCCGGTGTGAGTCTGTGTGTGTCAGCCAGCGGCGGGCTGTAGTGGAACTGAGTGTGTGTGGATGAGCCTCAGGGGAGATCCTCTGTGTGTGGGCCAAGAAGAGCTGTGTGTGTGTGTGTGTGTGTGTGTGTGTGTGTGTGTGTGTGTGCGCGTGCGCACGCTCATGTAAAGTCAGTGTGCCTCTGGTGTGCACGGGACCTGCAGCTGAGTGTCCTGCTGCCAAAGAGGTACGTGTGCAGCCAGCATGCTGCTCACCAGGTGCCAGCTCTGAGTGACAGTAGGGATGGGGGATGCACAGCTTGGAAGGACCTCAGCCTGGATGTCCCATATCCCTCTACCCATCTCCCCCGTGACATGCCCTCACCCCATCTCCCCCGCGACACGCCCTCACCCCATCTCCCCCGTGCCACGCCCTGACTCTATCTCCCCCGTGACACGCCCTGACTCTATCTCCCCCGTGACACGCCCTGACTCTATCTCCCCCGTGACACGCCCTCACCCCATCTCCCCCGTGCCACGCCCTGACTCTATCTCCCCCGTGACACGCCCTCACCCCATCTCCCCCGAGACAGGCCCTCATCCCATCTCCCCCGCGACACGCCCTGACTCTATCTCCCCCGTGACACGCCCTGACTCTATCTCCCCATGCCAGGCCTTCACCCCATCTCCCCGCTCCTGTGCCGTGCCCTCACCCCTGGGCAAATCACTTGGAAGCCGCAGGGACAGGGAGGAGTCGCTGCCTCAGGTCTCAGAGCGCACAGGCCACAGGTGACTTTCAGAAGTCTGCTGCACTGACCCACAGAGTCAAACAAACCCACACTACCACTTGGACCCAACATGCACATCAGCACACACTCCACCGGCGTGGGGGGTCCCCAGCGCAGGCCCTTGGGAAGGGGTGGGACTGGTTTGAAGGTTGGTCCTGAAAAGGCTTCTGGGATAAGTGGACGTTAAGTCAGCCTCGCCCCCCCCCCCAAAGCAGTGGCCGCCAAGGGTGCTGGGGTGGAGCGGGCACTGGATGTCGAGGGCGGGGCCTCAGGGCGGTGGTTTCTCAGCAACTGGGTGTGGAGGGGGCGTGGCCACGGTCACCCTCGCCCCGCCTGCCCCGCCCCTGAGTGATCGGTTTCCGCTAGGGGGCGCGTGCGAGTCGCAGGCGGTGGAGGAGCAGGGTGTGGTGGGTTTCAGTGATGGGGTCCCGATGGGGTGCTTTGGGGGAAGCCGTCAGTGGGAAATAGGGTCCCCCACGGGGTTCTGAGGATCAGGGTGACGGGAAGCGACGATGGGTGTGGTTCACTGAGGACCACGGGATCTTCTGCCGTCCTACATAATCCAGGGTGTCTGAGCAGAGACCTTGAACTCAGTATACTTGGGAAGACTTCTTGGGGCGGACAGAGGGGTGGGGAGGACTTGTGGGGGGTCATGGGTGGGTGCAGTGGACTTTGGTTGGCCAGGAGGGTCACAGGGCATCTTGGGACTCGAGGTTTCAACTTCGATGGCCACAGAGCATTGGAGACAGCAATCTGGGGGGATCCGATGCTCGAGGGGTTCCCCCTCGTGGATAGTCTTAGGGGGTCTAGGTGGGGAGTTGGGGAACATGGGGAAGGGGTGCGCAAAGTTAGTGCGGACTCGATTCGGGGCGCAAAGTGTCGGATGAAGGAGAGTCCCGGGAGAGTCGATCGATCGATCCCTGTGGCCGTCTAGGGCCTCCCGCGTTCCTGCCACCTGCTCTCCCGGCGCGCCCCTCCGGCTGTGGGCGGGATGAGGGCGGCTCCCAAGCCCGGGAAACCCTACGCCACGCCCACGTCCACGCCTCCGGGAAGGCCACGCCCCCTCCAACCCTGCCGGCCTGAGCGGTGCGCGGCGGGAGCGGAGGGAGAGCGCGCGGTGGCTCCGTCCGTGCGCCCCACGCTCCCCGCGTGGCCCCGCGTCCCGAGCGTGCTCCAGCCTCCCACGCGCGCCGTCCCGGGGTGTACCGAGCCCGGCGAGCCCCGGGAAGCCAGAAAGAGAGAGGACAGGGGGGGAAACCCCATGGCCCGGCCCGCGTCCCGCACTCTGCGCGGTGGCCTCCTCCGGCACGGGGTCCCCGGGTTGCCTCGGGTCCCCGCGATCCGGATGGCGCACGCGGTGGCTGGGGCCGGGCCGGGCTCAGGTGGCCAGAGGAGTCACCACTGACCGGGTCATCTGGAGCTCCCGGCAGGTAAGCTGAGTCCCGGGGTGTAGTGCGGGGGGGGGGGGAGTCCCCAAGGACCCCCTCCCGGGTCACCGCGGGGTACCCGACGGGGCGCGCTCCCGGCTCCTGCGCCCCCAGCTCCTGTGCTAAGCTGCTGGACCCCCGGACCCCTGTGAGCGCTCCGTCAGGCAGGGAGGATGGAGGGGAGACATCGAGGTCTCAGTGAACCCCAGGAGGGACCTGGCCGCGCACAGCCCCGCGGCGCACAGAAGTAAACACGTCAGGGGCGCGTTCCCTGCGCGCCCGGGGACACCGTGTCCTCCCCGGTAAGGGCCGGGCCGCTGGGCTCCTGAGTCGCTGTTCAGCCACAAGAGGGCGTGGGGCTCTTTGGAGGAGGGGGGTCCCTTAAGGGCAAAGCTCAGATTGGAAACGGGGTGTGTGTTCCCCACTTTCCGAGTTCTTGCTCCAGATTATGCCCAGATAATTCGGTTCATGGGTGAGAAGTCACCAGGCCCAGGGTTGCTGCTGAGTGGGCAGACTTCAGGTGGGACTGGAGGCAGAAACCGTGAAGCCCAGGCTGGATGCTTGAGATGTGGATTTGGGGGCCGTAGGGGGTTGCCATCTGCCTGGCCGACTGGGTATGTCGGGGGGCTGTGCTGGGCACTGGACCCCTGGGTTTCCGTCCCGCCGCCTTCGCCGGGCCTCACATCCCTGATGTTGTGGGACACCCTTTGTGTGTCAGCGCCCCGGGCTGAGGAAGCCCCATGGGGCGTGACGGGCAGGATGTCAGTGGCGGGCGGATTCCAGCCTGACCAGCTCGTCTCACCCCAGCCCCTCGCCCCGGGCCGGACAACCCCTCCCGCTCTTTCATCCGGGGACTTCTGAGGGTCCCGGGTCCCCAGCCGGCTCCAAACACCTAGGCAACCACAAAGGGCTGGCGGTGGAGGGAAAACAAACGTCCCCCACCCCAGCCGGGCACCCCCCTCATTCGGGAACGCCCCCTCAGCAGGGCATCCCTCCCCAGCCGGATACCCCCACTCAGTAGGCACCCCCTCAGCTGAGCCCCCGCGTCAGCAGGACAAACCCCAGCCGGGCACCCCCCTCTGTCGGGCACCCCCCCCCAGCAGGGCATCCCCCTCAATCGGGCACCCCCACTCAGCTGGGCATCCCTCCCCAGCAGGACAAACCCCAGCCGGGCACCCCCCTCAATCGGGCACCCCCCCTCAGCAGGGCATCCCTCCCCAGCTGGGCACCCCCCTCAATCGGATACCCCCCCTCAGCAGGGCATCCCTCCCCAGCAGGGCATCCCCCCAGCCGGGCACCCCCCTCAATCGGGCACCCCCACTCAGCAGGGTATCCCTCCCCAGCTGGTTATCCCCCACTCAGCTGGGCATCCCCCCAGCCGGGCACCCCCTCCTCAGCAGGACACCCCCCAGCCGGGCACCCTGTCCCGAAATACCACCATCCTGTTCTCAGAATTAAATAACAAACAAACAAACAGAGCCAGGCCGCACAACACAAAAGCCAGAGACGCTCCGACCAATGTGTGCCCGCGGGCACTGTCCTTAGACGCGGCCACTCTGGCACCCACCGACACGGGGGACCTGTGACGGGGACTCTGGGAGGTGGGAGGCTCCCCACCTCCGGGAAGACTTCCTGGAGGAGGGGCACTACAGCTGGGGCCGGGCGGGATGAGTACAAGCTCTGTAAGTGGGGAAACCTTGGCTTGTGTGGGGACAGCCGGGGTGACCGGGTGACGGCTGGGGAGAGAATGTTCCGGAAGGCCGGCAGGGCCGGGGAGCAGGTGTGGTGCCCTGGGCCTGTCATCACAGCTACTCAGGAGCTGGAGGCAGGAGATGAGGGGTTCAGGGTCAGCCTCGGCTACACAGGGTCCAGCCTGGGCTACACCGACTCAAACGAGAAGAGGCACGGGAAATGTTAGAAATAAGTCAACGAGGGCGGGCAGAGCTCTCCCTGGGGCCCCTGCTGCCCGTGACCCCCGCGCCGGGGGTCAACGCCCCTGCGCCCGCCTCGCGCAAACACGCGTATTTAAAATAAGATAGTTCAAGAGGAAAAAGCAGCTCCGGAACGTAGGCTCCGGCTCCCGTCTGGGGAAACTGAGGCTCGGAGAACCGACACCCTCGTCTAGGACCTGAGACCAAACTTCCGATTTGGGAAGGAGGGGTTGCCTGCCTCAGTTTCCCTTGCAAGCCAGATGGTCAGGACTCGGGGGTGGGGGCTCCCAGCCGCCCTTGCGCCCCGCGCCAGCGGCTCAGCCCGCATTAGCCTGATCTGGTTATCCGCGGGCATGCGCACAGCCAGCCCCGGGCGGCGCGCGGTGCTGTGTGTCCTGCGGGGACAGTCCACCTCTCTGGTCCTGCCTGCGGCGGGTGCGCGGGGGGCTCCCAGCGGAGGTCGCCGAGTCGCCCCGCCCTCCTCCTCCGCGTTTCAACCCGTCTGCGGTGCGACGCCGAGCGGTCGAAGAACGTTTAGCGGGACGGGATGGCTAAGCTGACATCTGCCGCCTGAACCCACAGAAGTGACTGCAGAGTTGCCCTCCGACCCGCGCGCGCACGCACGCTGCGGCGTGTGCTCCCACGGACCATGCATAATGACACGAAGTCTCTGGAAAGTGGGGCGCGGGGACACATTGGAATCGGGGCTTTGAGCAAATCCGGCCTGGCTCAGGGGCGCAGCGGCCCTGGAGTCCTTGCCCATCCCCCGCGCCGGGCACGGGGCGGACGGCTGGGAGGGAGCGGCTGTGCCCCCCAGCCCACCGAGCCCCAAAGGCCACCCGGGGCCGGGGCCCCCACAGCTCATCGGAACCAGCTGTGCTCCGCAGATGTTGTTGCTTTGCCCCCAGATGTGCGTCCCGCCGGCGGGTGGGGCCTTCGGAGGGAGGTGAGGACCCGAGCTCCAGGAGGCCTCAGTTTCCCCCACAGCCTGGGAAAAAACTGTCAGCGCTGATGGGGAAACTGAGGCACGGACTCTGCCTAAAGCAGTACTGAAGACACCCCCCAACCGGAAGCGGTGGCACGTCGCCCCAGCACTCAGGAGGAGGAGGAGGCAGGAGGGTCAGGAGTGCAGGGTCATCCTCAGCTACATAGTTGGAGGCCAGCCTGGGCTACGCGAGAGCCTATGGGTCATGGAGGCGTGAGGAGGCTGAGCGCCATGGTGCCTCGGGTCATGCGCACCCCCGCATCCACCAGTGGGTCTGCTGGACACCACTGCAGATGGGGAAACTGAGGCCCGGGGAAGGACTGGGGGATGCGGTGACCGCTGGGCCCCATCCAGGAGCCTCTGCGTACCTACGTCACCCCCAGCACCCCCCTTCCGCGCCCGACAAACCAGTCGGGTGACCCCAGACAGAGGGGCCATTGTTCAGGGGTTCGGAGCTCGGCTGGGGGTCCGCGGTCATCTCTGCCAGCACGTTTCCTCATAGTTCAGAGAGGAGGAGGGAGGCACAGCCCGGGGGGCGGGGCCGAGGCGCGGGGGGCGGGGCCGAGGCGCGGGGGGCGGGGCCGAGGCGCGGGGGGCGGGGCGGGGCCGAGGCGCGGGGGGCGGGGCCGCAGGCACGGGGGCGGGGCCGCAGGCAGGCAGGCCAGGACAGACTCCGCGGCGCAGAGCGTGGCCAAGAGGTTAATTCCCGCCGGTGGGCGCGGAGGCCCCGGGTTCGGTTCCCATCACCCGCAGGCAGCGCTCGGGCCCTGACACCCCTGCCCTGATACTCTGCCCGAGATACCCCGGGCTAGCCTTGGCTACTGGGCGGCCGCCGGGTCCTCGCAGTCACGTGACCCGGACTTCGCCCCGCCACGTGTCAGATGGTTTTCTGGGAGGATAGAGAGTATACAGTTGGTGTTCAATAACGGGGGGAGCGGCGGGGTCCAAGGCGGGCAGCAGGGTCAGAGTTCAGGGTCAGCAAGCCAACACCTGCTCTGTGCCTCAGTTTCCCCAGCTTAACACAGACGCCTCCTGTGTGCTCAGCGTCAGGCCTGGTGCACACTTAGGGCTTAATGAATCTGCCTGGTGGGTGTGGCCTGGGGTGGGGCCATGCAAATCGGATGCAAATGAATTCCAGGCCGAAGCAGGGGACGCTGGGTAAACGGGGGGCGGAACCGCAGGGATCATGGGCCAGGGAGGGGGCTGCAGAGGTGGAGGTGCGCTCATTAGGCACCTACTGTGTGCAACGAGCAGGAAGTATGGGTGCCCTGCTGGAGGGGGCGTCACCTAAGGGCTGGGATGGGGAGCCTTCCCAGAGGGGGTGTGGCTTGTAGGGGAAACTGAGGCACGCAGTAAGTGACCGGGGTCAGATAAGATGGTGTCCCGAGCCCAGCCACTCCCCTCGCGCAGTGCCACCTGCTGGAGTCACTCCCTGCTGTCACTCACCCTCTCCCTGCCCGACCGGGTATCCGTTGCTAGGCTACACCAAAGGCGCATCAGCCTCAGGGCCTTTGCACCCGCTGTTGCACCCAAAGAGATGGCTGCACACCCCCCGCCCGCGGGCGCCCACCACCCCGTGTCCCCGCAGGCCGAGGCCCAGGATGAGGCGCTGGAAGGCGGCGGCCCTGGTGTCGCTCGTCTGCAGCTCCCTGCTGTCGGTCTGGATGTGCCAGGAGGGTCTGCTGCTGGGCCACCGCCTGGGACCCGCGCTCGCCCCGCTGCGACGCCCGCCGCGCACCCTGGACGCGCGCATCGCCCGCCTGGCGCAGTGTAAGCCCCGCCCCCGGGGCCCAGGGGGCGGGAACCGGAAGGGGCGGGCCACGTGGGGGGGGCTCCGAGGTGGGAGAACCACGCTGAACCACAAAGCTTTCTCACTTGATTTCTTTTTGAGGCAGGGAGGGGTGCATATGGCCTAGGCTGGCCTCGAACTCTCGGGGTGGCCAGGATGCCCCTGAAATGACCCTCCTGCCACTGCCTCCTGAACGCCCCCCTTGCTGCACACCCCTCAACTACAGAGGGAGTGGGGAGCGATGGCGGCCAAAGCGAGGCCACGCCCCTCCACGCCACCAGGAGTGCGCACGCGCAGGGCAATGAGGGGCGGGGCCACGCCTCACGGCCCAATCCTCTGTCTCCCTCTTCCCGCCCCAGACCGAGCTCTGCTGCAGGGCGCCCCCGACGCCGTGGAGCTTCGAGAACTTTCCCCCTGGGCCGCGCGCGCCCCAGGCCTGCGCCGTCGAGCGGGTCCCCGACGTCGGCGCGCGCGGGCGCGGTCGGGCGCGCGGCCGTGCGGGCTGCGCGAGCTCGAGGTGCGCGTGAGCGAGCTGGGCCTGGGCTACACGTCGGACGAGACGGTGCTGTTCCGCTACTGCGCAGGCGCTTGCGAGGCGGCCGTGCGCATCTACGACCTGGGCCTGCGGCGCCTGCGCCAGCGGAGGCGCGTGCGCAAAGAGCGGGTGCGCGCGCACCCGTGCTGCCGCCCGACGGCCTACGAGGACGAGGTCTCCTTCCTGGACGTGCACAGCCGCTACCACACGCTGCAGGAGCTGTCGGCGCGGGAGTGCGCGTGCGTGTGACGCTACCTCACGCCCCAACCCTGTGCGCCTGTGCGCCTGCGCAGGGGCCCGTGCCCGCGCCCTCCCTCGAGGACTGAATTCACATAAATTGTGGGAACTCTCGTGCTGGCTGCGCGTTCAGTCTGTGGGGAGTGGGGCGAGGCCGTGCTTCCGGCTGGCCTGGGAGAAAAAGGACAGTACCTGTGGTACAGGGAAGCCTGGCCGTGGGAGGTGGCCTTGCTGGAGGACAGGCGACAGGAGAGGCCCCGGGCAGAGTTCGCCGCCGCCGCCCAAGCCTGGCTGTGCCACGCGCACACACACGCATGCACACACGCGCATGCACGCGCGCGCGCAGGGCGGGGGGGCTGGAGGGCCGCTCAGCGGTTGGAGGAGCGGGTTTGACGCCCAGCACCCAGGGGACCGGACGCTCGCCCACCCCCCCCACCCCACCCCCACCTCGTGGGAGCGGCTCGCACGCGGCGCACAGACCCACGGACAAAACACCACACACGCAATCGAGAGAGGAAAAGGGTGGTTACGGAATAAGGAGGGAAGAGAAAAAGGATGTCCCGTGTGGTCCCACAAGCTAGTTCTCCCAGCCCTGGAGAGGCCGAGGCAGGGGTATGGCAAGGTGGAGGCCAGCCTGGGTCTCGGAGTGTTGGCTCCGTGGGGGCCGCTCGCTTGAGTCTAGAGAGAACCAGAGCTGTATCTCCTTCCATGGGCTAAAAATAACTCGCTGCCCACCTCCGGGAGGGGACAGGTCTGGGGCGGGTGCCAGCCCGAGCCGGCGCCTGCCGGGCATAGCTGGGTCCCCAAGGACCCTTAGAACCTTGGCCGTGCCTGGAAGGGCAGGGGTGGGGGCTACCATGGGCTGGGGTGCGGGTGTCTTTGCCTCGGTGTCACCTTGACCCCTGGCAGGCCTGGAGGTGCCCAGCAATTTGGGGTTCCCAGAGGTGGGGGAGGTGTGTCCCACAATGGGGAATAGGTGGGGAAGGGTGCTGTGAGACAAGGCTTTTCCTGGGGAGACTCAACATGCAACCCAGGTAGGTACCCCACCAAGTCCTGCTAGTGAACGTGAGTTTTCCTGGCGTCACTGACAGGCATATGGGTGAGGGGAGACAGCTGCGTCACCAAGGCCCACCCCAGCATGGGTGACGGCTCACAGAGCTGGGAACCTGGAGTGTATCACATAGCCCGCAGGCCACAGGACAGGCTGGAGAACGTGGTGCCTCAGCTGGTCTGAGCCTCTTGCACACAGCTTGATTTCCTGAGCAGGCCCTCAGCTTTTATTGTTCACTCTAGCAGTGGGATACACACACACACACACACACACACACACACACACACACACACACACACACACACAATTGGTTGGTTTCAGGGACTTCCTGAAGCTGTTTTGTTCACCTTCCTATTTAAAGAACCTTTAAGGTTCTTTAATGCAGGATGAGATGCTTCAATATTGGAGGAAACAGTTTGCGCCCAATCTTCTACAGTGGTTGCCTGAGCCATGGAAGGGGTGACTATCGATGTCCACCTATGACCATGAATCGGACCATGACACAGTAACAGTCACCTGTTCACTCACCAATGGTTATGATTTGAGGCTGACAACAATGGTGATCTATGGGCGTGATGTCAAGACACGTTTCAGGGACTTCCTGAAGTTGTTTTGTTTACCTTCCTGCTTAAGGAGCTTCCCGCAGGATGCAGTGTTTCAGTATCAGAGGAAACTGATACTGAGGGCATTTTGACAGGCACATCACATCTACACAGAAAAACCATAGATGTTGCTTCACTGTTGGGGCCTAGGACCTCCCCAGCCACAGGAGTTGGCCTGGTGTACAGTACCAGGCGTGAACTCGCTCTGTGGAGTGGCCCTTGTTGGTCTCGCCCATGACACCTGCCTGGCGTGTGGTGTCTCAGCATGCATGGTCCGTAGCTGAGCAGCAATATTGGTGATATTCTCCACCAGGAGCCCCTCCTGCTGTGAAAACCAGCTGGCAGGTTGGGGATTTCCTGGTCGGTCCCAGCTTAATTTCTCCGTGTCCTGCAGTCACAGTGTGTGCCTGCGGTGTCCTCAGAAGTAGGGTCTCACCGTCTAGTCCTGGCACAGAAGCAACAGCCACAGCTACAGCCTTTAAGTTTATGGGACCTCGGGGCCTTCCCAGGCCAACAGCTCACAGGGAAGGAGCCCTCGGCACTGGGGTCTGTAGGTGGATTCTTTTGTCCCTCCTCTCAGCTCCCAAATAACCACATGGAGGCTTCTTTTTAATTATAAAATCTCAGCTAATAGCTTAGGCTTGTTACTATTTAAACCCCCCATTTTTTTGAGACAGGGTTTCTCTGTGTTGTTTTGGTGCCTGTCCTGGATCTCGCTCTGTAGACCAGGCTGGCTTTGAACTCACAGAAATCCGCCTGCCTCTGCCTCCCGAGTGCTGGGATTAAAGGCGTGCACCACCACCGCCCAGCTTACTTTTTTTTTTTTAATTAATCTACTTTTTGTCTCATGGCTTTATCACCTTTACTCTGTACTGCCCATGCTGCCTCCTCTCCATCTGGCTGGTGACTCCCCACATCTCTGCCCTCCTTCCCAGCATCCTCTCTACCCCAAAAATCCTGCCTAGCTATTGGCCATTCAGCTTTTTATTAAACCAATACAAGTGACAAATCTTCAGCGTGTACAAAAAGATTATTCCACACCAGGGGTCTCCATTCAGTAACTTTCTGGCTTCAGGGAGTGTCCCATTCCACCCACCGAGGGTGCCATCTGGATTTAAATTCTTAGCTATTCTCTTTAAGACCATTTTTCCTCCTACTTAACCAAGCCCCAGCAGGGCTGTGAGGCAGGTGGAGACGCCATTACACCTGGGTGTCTCTCCAATGGTTTTCCAAATCTGCAAGACACTCAGGTTGCCATTATGTCATCTATATAACGACTGTGTCCAGAAGATGGGCAGGACACCACAGCATCCCATAATAAACAATCTCAGTGAGATGCCATCAAAGTCCCTGTCATCTGTTCTCAGCAGTGTCAGGTGACCCCAGAAGCTCACGGACCTCTGCTGTTCTCTGAGCCTTTCTGTGTCCTGGCACCTCCCTACATTTCTCCATGTCTGATGAACTCAGGGAGCCTGACTACGTCCACTCAGACCTACGCAGGGCCAAGGGGGACCGAGGCTCTACTGTCTCCCAAGGCACGTGGTGTCTCCTTGGGTCACAGTGGCTCCAGGTTGGCGCGGTGGATGTAGCTTAACGGTCTTCGCCGGTGTTGTTCTACCTGTGAGCCTTCTGGGGGCTCCTCAGCACACAGTGTGGTTTTGCCTATCAGCTCTTCCTTAGGAACTCCAGTGGACACAGGACAGACCTCTTCCTCAGCTCTGCCATTTTCTCATCTCTAGGTTGTTCTCTCAATAGGTGGACGCTCTTTACATGCTAGTCTACGTCGCTGAGGTCTGTCAGAGCCTTTCCTGCTTTATAACGATCTTGTCCCCCACAACTGGCTGAGCAAAAGCCACCAAAGCTGCAAACGAGCCCTGAGCCTCTGCTGTGAACACAGTTCAAACGCAGCTCCTCTTATCCCTAGTTCCCTCAGTAGGGTCCGCCCCTCCTGTGTGGTCCACCTGGTATTTGTGGGGACTCCAGCCAGAGATAACCAAGTGTTCCTATTGGCTCTGAAAAGCCAGTCCACCAGGGACTGATTCCCTCACACTGTCTCAAGTTATGCAGCCTTTGCCTTAAGGAGGGAGGGGAAGTCACATGACTGAGTTTCCCTGTCTCCACCGCAGTCAGAGTGGTCCATCCGTTCTGTGCCGCACGGCTGGACTGCCACAGGCTCTTTCATGGCTTGTTTAAAAATCTCTCCTAGTTCCAGCAGCACAGATACCTGAATGTTCTCTGGTCACCATAGCTTCTGGACCGTGGTTAATGCCCCATCTGCACACTGGATCACACGCTTCCCTTATTTTCGATTAAAGGTCGAACCTCCAGGTTACCTTCTGTTGCTGTGTTCTCCTCCTCACTCTGCGTCTCCCCACAGGTCTTGTGTCCCAGGAAAGGCTTTGGAGCACAGGTCTAACTTGTGATCTTTCCCTTCTGGTTGCCGAGCCATAAGAAGCCGCAAGCCATTGCCTCCATCTCGTCCACTCGTTTTTCTAATTCACTTGCCAGAGCCAAGACTAACATAGAGGATGCTGCCGTATCTTCCTTTCTTGTTGCAATTGCTCTCTTACACAAACAACTTCCTGCTTGGCGCCATCTCCGCCCCAGGTGCATTTCTGAGTACTCACAATGGCAGCCTGGCAGCCTCTGCTGCCGCTGCCTGCCAAGCATGACCATTGTGTGCTAATCTTTTTTTTTTTTTTTTTTTTTTTTTTTTTTTTTTTTTTTGGTTTTTTGAGACAGGGTTTCTCTGTGTAGCTTTGCGCCTTTCCTGGAACTCACTTGGTAGACCAGGCTGGCCTCGAACTCACAGAGATCCGCCTGGCTCTGCCTCCCGAGTGCTGGGATTAAAGGCGTGCGCCACCACCGCCCGGCTTTTTTTTTTTTTTATTTTTATTTATTTATTTATTTATTTATTTATTTATTTATTTATTTATTTTGGTTTTTCGAGACAGGGTTTCTCTGTGTAGCTTTGCGCCTTTCCTGGCACTCACTTGGTAGCCCAGGCTGGCCTCGAACTCACAGAGATCCGCCGGCCTCTGCCTCGCGAGTGCTGGGATTAAAGGCGTGCGCCACCACCGCCCGTGTGCTAATCTTAAAGACTACAAAATGGTCTCTAAAGCTGTAAGTGTCTTCAGGGCATCTCTGTATTCCTGTGGAGGACCCTACTCATCAAGTAGGTATACCACCACATACCACACAGAGGGAGACTGCCTGCTGGGATTCCACCCAAGGACACTCCTGATCCTGAAGGCTCAGCCGCAGTTCCACGACTTACTACCTACATAGTCACCCCACAGCACTCAGGGGAGAACGGCCCTACTGGAGTCTCCTCTGCGGTGTCCGCCACTCAGGCTGATGGCCTCAGTAGCATGCCTTGCCACCCACAGCCTGGACTATGCACTCCCCAACTCGTCCTTGATTCTGCGGTGGCCCTCTTCTGGTGCCAATGTTGTGTGAAAGAAAGACTTTTCCTGGGGACACACAACACACACGTCCACTCACCTCAGTAGAGAATCCACAGCAGGCCAAAGTACAGACACCACCCAAGTCCCACTTGGTGAACTGTGAGTTTTCCTGGGGTCACTGACAGGCATATGGGTGAGGGGAGACAGCTGCGTCACCAAGGCCCACACCAGCATGGGTGATGGCTCACAGAGCTGGGAATCTGGAGTGTACTGCACAGCCTGCAGGACACAGGACAGACTAGAGACTGCCAGGTGCCTCAGCTGGTCAGAGCCTCTTCCAAGCAGCTGGGCTTCCTGAGGGGACCCTCTGTTTTTATTGCTCACTCTGGCAAGAAGGGGCCTAGTGAAACTGGTTGGTTTCAGGGACTTCCTGAAGCTGTTTTGTTTACTTTCCAGCTTAAGGAGCCTCTCTGTAGGATGGAACGTTTTATCTGGGAGGAAATTGCTGCCCAGCAAAGGGCAAGGTCACTTTAATCACAACTTGCTATGACCCTGGCATCTGCAGACACTTGGGTTGGGGAGTAGGGGTGTCTGTCCCTGTCCAGCTTTCCCAATGGTCAGTAGACTGAAGACAAATGCACCCCTGCCCCAGTGACCCAGAGTGGGGGCTCCCAAGGGCATCCCTCTTCACCCAGATCAGCTCAGCAAGACCTCCTGGGCGCCCTGCAGGATGTGGCGCTGCCCCAGCCTGTGGTGTTCTCTGTGGGAGAGGGCTTGGGACCAGACCCCTGCCCCAGAGCCCTGTCCAGCCTCTCAGCTTCTTGAGACACAAGGAGTGAGGAGATGGATTTCCCACTCCGTTCCATCTGAATCAGCCAAAGGTGGCCCAAAGGCTGGAACCCCCACATGCTGTGGAACCCAGTAACTGTTAGTGATTGTTCCTGGCCTCAGTTTCCCCAGTGTGGTCAGACCATGGAACCTCAGAGCTGGTCTGGGAGTCCAAAGCTGTGCTCCCCAGGCTCCCTTGCCCAGGAGGGCGTGTGTCCCCATGCTCAGGAAAACAGCCTCCCACCCAGGCCTGCGGGGACCTTGGCCTCCTGTCTCCCACCCACTTCCAACATGCCAGCCGCAGAGCCGGGTGGAACCTACCAGGAGATGGAAACGTAAACAGAGTGTCTCCCACAGCCTCAGCTCTGCACCCAGGCTCTGGAGCCACACAGGGCCACCCACAAGGCTGAGGCTTCTGATCACACCCACTCCCCCTTTGTGTTGTTATTGCCGATGGTCTCCAGGAACCCAGGATTGCCTCCAACTCTCTATGTAGAGGAGGGAGGCCTTGAAGTCCTCATTGTCCTTCCTCGACCTCCCAGGTGCTGACAGCAGGCATTGCACCATCACTCCCAGTTGGGCACCCAGTTCTCCACAGTCCTGTGCACTTCCTCCCCGAGGTGGACATCGGACTGGCCTTCAACACTCACCTGCTTTCCTGCCCAAACACCTTGGCCAAGTAGCCCACCTAGTGTGCCAGGCAGCCTTTCCCTCACCCATGCCATCTCAGCCTGACCTACTCATCTTCCTGGGATTTACCCCAGGGGACATCAGCTCTGAGAGACAGCAAAGCTGGCAGCTGACTGACCGGTCCTATGCATGTATGCAGACATGGAGAGCATAGGCAGAGGCTGGAGGCTGGCAGTCCTCTGAGGTCGCTCTCCACCATGTGTTTTGAAGCAGGGTCTCTCACTGACCCTCAGCTGCCTACGCAGCAAGACTGACTACAACAGCAGGTCCTGGGACCCCCTTGTCTCCAGCTGCCAGCAGAGGGGTTTCAGTCATACGCTGCCATGCATGACATTTTACATGGGTGTAATAGTGTTTACAATGTCCTGGGATGGTTCTCAGTCCCCTTTCCTCCAGAGTGACAACCACAGATGTCGCCAGATATTGTCTGAGCATCCCCAGGGGAAGGACACAGTCACTCTGCATGAGATTCATAGAATAAAGTCTCAGGTCAGTTATTCCAATGCTCCCATCTGGACATTGGTGATAGCTATTCCAATGCTCCCATCTGGACATTGGTGATAGCTATTCCAATGCTCCCATCTGGACATTGGTGATAGCTATTCCAATGCTCCCATCTGGACATTGGTGATAGTATCACACTCCCACATCCACAGGGATAGTTGTGTGATAAGTATCAAAAGCACCTGAGGAGGACCAGCCAGCCACCACTGGCAGGGGGGATGACCCTGGGGAGTCAGTGACCCAGATCAGAGTTTGCTGGGAGCAGGTAAAGCAGGTATGTCTTAGAGTTTCTATGGCTGTGATAAAATGCCGTGATGGGTAAGCAACTTTGTAGGAAAGGTTTTATTTCAGCTTACATGGCTCAGTTACACTCCATCATCCAGGGAGTCAGGGGAGGAACCTGGAGACAGGATCTGATGGAAAGGCCATGGAAGGGTGCTGCTTACTGGCTTGCTCCCCATGGCTTGCTCAACCTACTTTCTTATAGAATTCAGGACCAGCAGCCCAGGGATGGCACCACCCACAGTGGACTGGGCCCTCCCCATCAATCACTAATTAAGAAAACGTACCACAGGCCAATCTGATGGGGACATTGTCTCAACTGTGGCTCCATCAACCCACATAACTCTAGCTTGTATCAAGTTGAAATAAAACAAGCCAGCACAAGGTGTCTGTCACCCAGGGGCTACAGATGATGACTTTTGGTAGGACACTGACCGAAGGACCCTGGCCAGCAACCTCACTGGAACCAAGAGGCCACACTGGAGACTGTCTGGTACCTCTGGTCCCATTGCAGCTGCCTGCATGCCTTGCAGAAGGCAAGGGACATGCTTAAAAAGCGAGGCCTGAGCATCTTCCTCCAGCGGAAGTAACGCTGGTACCTCAGGCTATCTCTGTCTAGCTCCTGCAGGTACTGAGCCAGGTCCTTTGGGCTCTGGAAATCATCCACATGGATGAAGGCGTCAGGGGGCAGGAAGCGTTCATAGTTCTTCCTGCTGGGCCCCAGGACCACAGGCACAGCCCAGGCTTCCAGAGCATTCCTCCACAGCTTCTCTGTGATGTAATCTGGGTGGAGGGAATTTTCGAATGCCAGGTAAAACTTGTACCTGGCCAGTGTCTCCATCATGTCCCCTTGGGGAAGCGGCATGTGACCTCGGCCATACACGTCCACATGGAGGTGACTCTGAAGGTTCTGGTAGTACAGCACCCGAGCCGACTTGGAGTTCCAGTTGGACACAGCCCAGGCCACCAGGTCAGTCTTGACAGACAGGTTGACCTGGGTTTGGACTGGAGGCTCTGGCCACGGCTCCAGCCAGCCATAGGGCGTGAAGATGTCAGAGTCAGCGCGATAGGACATGGTGAGGTTGAAGTGACCGTCCAGGTCTGACAACCGGCTACAGTGGCTGGGTGACTCCAGGCTGAACCACACCCAGCGCTGGCCTGGTGGCCTTGGCTGAAGTGGCAGCTGTGACCTGGGATTGGCGCTGACTTCGCGGTGGTGGATGATGACGGCATCTGCTTGGGCGTACAGGTCCCGGTTGGTGGTCAGCTGGCAATCGGCCGTGCCTGGGAGCATCTCAGAGCAGGGGGACAGAGCCACTGGATTGTGGAAGGGCCATGTCCACAGTAAGATGAGGAGGGGCCTGGGGACAGGGGTGGCTGGGGTGGAGGCTGGTCCTGGGGAGCTACCAGGAGTTGGGGGCCTGGTTTGGTCGTAGGACACTCGGATGTAGGAGAAAAAGCAGAGAGCCAACAGCAGCTGCAGCAGCAGGCCTGTGAGGCATGGACGCCAGGGACACTGTGCCTTGGCCGCTCGGGGCGTATCCATGGCCTGGGGGACCTGGGAAGAGAGGGAAAGGCAGAGCAGGCCACTGGTCATCTCTGTGGAAATGGCCAAATAAACACTCCACTTTTTTTTTTTTTTTTTAGACAGGGTTTCTCTGTGTAGCTCTGGCTATCGTGGAACTCGCTCTGTGAAACAGGCTGGCCTAGAACTCACAGAGATTCACCTGCCTCTGCCTCCCGAGTGTTGAGATTAAAGGCATGTGCCACCATGCCCAGCACTCCACATTTTTTAAAACGTTTCAGTCCAAGTCTCTTGTAGCCCAGGTTAGCCTCCATATCTGTATATAGCCTAGGATGACCTTTGCTTCTGTTTTGCCTCCCTCAGCCTGGCAATTGGATGTGGTGGACACATCTATATTGCCAGCACCTGAGAGGCATAGGCAGGTTGAGCTCTGTGAGTTCCAGGCTAGCCTGGGCTATAGAATAAGACCCTGTCTCTAAAAACAAAATCAAGGAATTCTGATGCTTTCATTGAAACACATTTAGAAATAAATGTGAAAGCATAATACGATTTTCCCCCTTTGTGCAATAGAGATTTAAAAACCCTGGGTGCTTTGAAACATGCAGCAAGATCCCACAATGCCACTGGCTCACTCTTGACACCAAGGTCTGGTCACACATTGCTGATGCAGGTCACTAATGCTGCAAGTGTGAACATGCCTATGGCCAGGGACAGACTCGAAGTGTCACATCTTGGGCTGAGCCTGGTGCCAGGGCTCAGTGAGCAGAGCGCTCCCACAGCATTCCCAGAGCCATGGGTTCCATTCCCAGGGCCACAGATGGCAGCAGATGTGCTGCATGCCTTTCATCCAGCATTCCAGGGAACAAAGCATCTCCTACCCCGGGCATTGCTCACCTATCCAGGGAATGAAACCCAAACCCCAGTGACCCGAGGCTCCCTGAATGCAGATGCCTTCCAGCAGGGACATCTTCCACAGAGACAAAGTTGCCAGGGCAGCCCCTGCACTCCTCTGGGACCAAATCCTTTTTTCTGTATAGAAAGAATCAGCCTGTATCACTTCCTCTCAGCCATTAAAAAAATTATGTACACACACACACACACACACACACACACACACACAGAGAGAGAGAGAGAGAGAGAGAGAGAGAGAGAGAGAGAGAGAGAGAGAGAGAGAGAGAGAGAGAGAGAGAATTGCCTGGGGCTGGAGATGTGGCTCAGTGGTTAAGAGCAACGGATGCTCTTCCAAAGGACCTGCATCTAATTCCCACAATCCACATGGTGGCTCGCAACTTTTTCTAAGTCCAGCTCCAGGGGATCTAACACAGACATACATGCAGACAAAACACCAATGTATGTAAAACAAATAAATCTTGAAGATGAAGAAGAAGGAGGAGGAGGAGGAGGAGGAGGAGGAGGAGGAGGAGGAGGAGGAAGAAGAAGAAGAAGAAGAAGAAGAAGAAGAAGAAGAAGAAGAAGAAGAAGAAGAAGAAGAAGAAGAAGAAGAAGGTTCTACCCCACCCAGGGCTGCCGTCAAGGGTCCATAGAGAGTGTGGCTTTTGCCCGGCGGCCAATGTGGTCTCTGTCCCCTTGGTTCTCCTGCAAGGGTTGACAGGTGCAGCCAACTTCAGGGGCAGCAGTGACAGGGCCAGTGTGCCCAGTGGAGCCCAGTGCCCCAGGGACCTTTGTTTGAGGTTTACTAGTCTTAAAACACCTGATTGATTCTGAGGCCTCCAGAGTACAGAAAAAGAAGAAGGAGGAGGAGGAGGAGGAGGAGGAGGAGGAGGAGGAGGAGGAGGAGAAGGCGGCCAGGTGGTGGTGGCCCACACTTTTAAAACTAGCACTTCGGTGGCAGAGGCAGGTGGATCTCAGTGAGATTGAGGCCAGCCTGGTCTACAAAGAGAGTTCCAGGACAGCCAAGGTATTCAAAGAAGAACCTTGTCTCAAAAAACAAAAAGAGCCGGGCGGTGGGGGCGCACGCCTTTAATCCCAGCACTCGGGAGGCAGAGCCAGGTGGATCTTTGTGAGTTCGAGGCCAGTCTGGTCTACAGAGCGAGATCCAGGAGAGGCGCAAAGCTACACAGAGAAACCCTGTCTCGAAAAACAAAAAAAAAAAGAAGGAAGAGAGGGAGAAGATGATGGAGGAGGAGGAGAAGGAGGAGATGGAGGAGGAGACGATGGAGGAGGTGGAGGAAGAGATGGAGGAGGAGATGGAGGAGGTGGAGGAGGAGGAGAAGATGGAGGAGGAGGAGGAGAAGAAGCAGAAATATAATTGCCAAATCCCAAATCCATATGCCGCTGGGGATTTGTGGAGTAGTGTCAGCAAGTAAGGGGGGTTGGATCTGCCTCCAGCCCCTCACTGGGGATTCTAGGCAGGGCTCCACCCTGACCACGCCCCCAGTCCCTCACTGAGGGATTCTAGGCGGGGCTCCACCCTGACCACGCCCCCAGCCCCTCACTGGGGATTCTAGGCGTGGCTCCACCCCGACCACGCCCCCAGCCCCTCACTGGGGATTCTAGGCGTGGCTCCACCCCGACCACGCCCCCAGCCCCACACTTGGGTTCTGTGCGGGAATATTCTAATAAGTTATACACATATTGAATCCTCATAGTTGTGGATATGTTTTTTTTGTCTTTTAAAAATGTCATGTGTACAAAACCATGGAGGCTATATATATAGCATGACGGACCCTAGGATGACTGTGGCTTATAATAAATTTTGGTTTTACTCAAAAAAAAAATTGTGTGCATAGGTCTGCATTGGTGTGTGCACTTGATCCTGGGTGCTCACGGATCACAGTGGTGTTGGATCTCTGAAGTTACAGGGAGCTGTCGATGCTGGGACCAAACTCAAGTCCTCTGAAAGAGCGTTGTGAGTGCCTAGCCCCTGACATGTTAGCTTTATCAGGTCATCTTTGTAACCCAGGCTGACCTTGGACTCCTGATCCTCCCCAAGTGCTGAGATGGCAGATGTGTGCCACCACATGACACCGACACCAACACACACACACACACACACACACACACACACACACACACACACACGTCTTTTGCTTAATTTTTTTTTTAGGACATGATGTGGTGGTTTGAGAGAAAATGGCCCCATAGAGAGTGGCACTATTAGGAAGTGTGGCCTTGTTTAAGGAAGTGGGAAGTGTGTCACTGTGGGGGTGAGCTTCGAGGTCTCCTAGGCTCAAGCTACCCCCAGTGACACAGTCCAATTCCTGCTGCCTGCAAATCTGATGTAAGAACTCTCAGCTCCGTCTCCAGCACCATGTCTGCCCACACACCATGTTTCCCACCATCCATGATGATAACAGACTGAACCTCTGAACTGTAAGCCAGCCTCAATTAAATTAAAAAAAAACTTTATGAGAGTTGCAGTGGTCATGGTTTCTCTCACAGCAATAAAATCCTGAGACACGTGGTAGTCAAGGCTAGATTTCAACTCATGGGAATTCACCTGCCTCAGTCTCCCAAGTTTTGGCATGCTGGGCATACTGTTGCACACCTTTACTCCCAGCATTCGGGAGGCAGGAATATCTCTGAGTTTGAGGCCAGCATGGTCTACATAGAGAGTTCCAGGTTAGTCAGGGCCACACAGAGAAACTCTGTCTGGAAAATATAAGGTTAACCTATGTGTGTGGAGGTCAGGGGTCAACTTTGGGAAGTCCCTTCTCTGTTCCACCTTCATGTGGGTCCAGAGAGCTGACGCAGATCGCCAGGCTGTCGCCACAAGTGCCTTTGCCCACTAGACCCCTCGTGGCCACACTTGGTTGCTTTTAAGGATTTTAATTTTATATTTATTTATTTGTTGAGACAGGGTTTCCCTGTGTAACCACTGCCCGGCTCTTGTTATGTTTGTTTTTTTTTTTTTTTTTTTTTTTTTTTTTGAGACAGGGTTTCTCTGTGTAGCTTTGCGCCTTTTCCTGGATCTCGCTCTGTAGACCAGGCTGGCCTCGAACTCACAAAGATCCACCTGCCTCTGCCTCCCGAGTGCTGGGATTAAAGGTGTGCGCCACCACCGCCCGGCTCTTGTTATGTTTTTTAAGACAGGGTTTCTCTATTTTTGTAGTTTGATTGACCTGAAACTCGGCATGTAGACCAGGCTGGACTTGAACTCACAGAGTTCGGCCTGACCCTGCCCTTTTTGGAGAAACACACACACACACACACACACACACACACACACACACACACACACACACACACACACCAAAGGGTCATTCCATTCGAAGCTGCCTTGGCAAACTTCCCCCAATCCTCCTGCCTCAGGTTTTCAAGTGTCAGGGTGAGAGGCACGTGCTACTGAGCCCCTTTATTTCTACAAAAGGGAAAAATGACACCCCCTCCTGCAGCAGGCACCCTAAGGCCCAGAGACTGGGAGCTGGGAGAGAGGGCAGGGGCAACCGCAGCCACACAGGGAGGTCGACATCAGGGATGGGAGGGTGAAGAAGAGCCACCTGGCATGGCCCAGAAGGGCGGGTGCGCGCTGCAGCAGGGTGGGGGTAGGCTGCCACGTGGGGATCCCTCACCCCTGAATCCTCTATCTCCCTCGCTCCTCCGCAGACCGATTTCTACCGCAGGCAACAGAGATGCAGCAGATCTTCGAGAAATTCTCTTCCGGCCGGCAGAGTCAGCACGTACAGCCTGCGCATGTGCAGCCAGCGAATGCACGTGCAGGCCACCAGGGTGGGTTTCCTACCTGGGTCTGCCAGACAGCGCCACAGCCAGACCTATCTGCGCCTGCGTGCAGGCCTCTCCCTCGAGCCCCGGCTCTGTGACTGGGGAGTGAGCTGGGGCTGAAGTGGGGGGAGGAGGGGGTTCCTAGTGTCCTAGGAGAAAAGGGGAAGCAGATGGGAAGGCTGGGGCGACGGCTGCTTTGCGAGCACGAGGACCTGACGTGAATAGCTGTAGGTGGCGACACAGCACGGTAGACACAGGGCAGGAGGCGCTGGGGACCTGGGGATGGCAGGATCCTGGGACTGTGGGTGTGGCGGGAGGAGCGCTCCCAGAAAGCCAGCATCCCGGAAGGAGATAGCAGCAGGTGCAGCAAGAAACCCTGTTCCGGGAGGGCAAAGCCACCGGCCTCTCCCCAGCAGGGACAGCATGCGCGTACGTGCAGGTCACACGCGCAAGAGACCACGTGGGCAGAGGAAAGTGAAGGCTGAGGCGGGGTCGCGTGGCACAGGCCTGTCATCCGAGCATTCGGGAGGCGCAAGAATCAGGGGTTCGTGACCGAGCATGGTGACATCTCAAGTTCTAGGCCCACCCGAGACTGTCTCAAACCAAAACCCAACAACGAAAACACGCAGAGGAGACAGCTGTCCTCGCCTGTGCTCATCTGCAACACTCGTGACAGAGCCAGGCTGGGGCACACGGGTGGAGCCCAGAGCCGTTTTGCTGCTAAGTTTGAGGTCTGAATGGACGCTGGACCACTGCACCGAACTGGCTCCCTGTGGCCCTGTCTGTCCCTTCCACCACCTAAAAATAACTCACTGCCTACCTCCAGATCCCCAAGGACCCGGATCCTGTACCCCTAAAACCTTGGCTGGCTGGCTGGGGAAGGACAGGAGGTACCATGGGCTGGGGTGCCAGTGTCTTTGTCTTGGGGTTACCTTGACCCTCGGCAGGCCTGAAAGGTGCCAGGCTCTGGGTTCCCAGAGATGGCGGTCTGTGCGTCCCACGAAGGGCGAGGGCACATTGATCCAAGTTTACTATGACCCTGGCATCTGCAGACACTTGGGTTGGGGAGTAGGGGTGTCTGTCCCTGTTCAGCTTTCCCAATGGTCAGTGGGCTGAAGACAGATGCACCCCTGCCCCAGTGACCCAGAGTGGGGGCTCCCAAGGGCATCCCTCTTCACCCAGATCAGCTCAGCAAGACCTCCTGGGCGCCCTGCAGGATGTGGTGCTGCCCCAGCCTGTGGTGTTCTCTGTGGGAGAGGGCTTGGGGCCAGGCCCCTGCCCCAGAGCCCTGTCCAGCCTCTCAGCTTCTTGAGACACAAGGAGTGAGGAGATGGATTTCCCACTCCGTTCCATCTGAATCAGCCAAAGGTGGCCCAAAGGCTGGAACCCCCACATGCTGTGGAACCCAGTAACTGTTAGTGATTGTTCCTGGCCTCAGTTTCCCCAGTGTGGTCAGACCATGGAGCCTCAGAGCTGGTCTGGGAGTCCAAAGCTGTGCTCCCCAGGCTCCCTTGCCCAGGTGGGCGTGTGTCCCCATGCTCGGGAAAGCAGCCTCCCACCCAGGCCTGCGGGGACCTTGGCCTCCTGTCTCCCACCCACTTCCAACATGCCAGCCGCAGAGCTGGGTGGAACCTACCAGGAGATGGAAACGTAAACAGAGTGTCTCCCACAGCCTCAGCTCTGCACCCAGGCTCTGGAGCCACACAGGGCCACCCACAAGGCTGAGGCTTCTGATCACACCCATTCCCACTCTGTGCCTGAGCATCCCCAGGGGAAGGACACACACAGGGTCTCATCTGGATGACTGTGATAGTACCATGCCCTACAACCACCACAGGCATTAGCTGTCGTATGCACCAGAAGCAACTGAGGCGGACCCACCACCCACCAGTGGGAGGGTGGCAGGGTGGCAGGGTGGCAGGGTGGCAGGGTGGGAGGGATGGGAGTCAGTGGCCTGAAGGAGTGTGTTGGGATCAGGTTCTCGTGATATGGCTCAGGCTTCTGGCTACCCACAGCCCCAGTGGGCAAAGTTCTAGGTGAAGACAATGGAACCAAGGCTCTGGGCAGCTGAGATGCCTGTCAAGGGGTCCCAGGTAAAAGGGGCATCTGTCACCCAGGGGCTACAGATGATGACTTTTGGTAGGACACTGACCGAAGGACCCTGGCCAGCAACCTCACTGGAACCAAGAGGCCACACTGGAGACTGTCTGGTACCTCTGGTCCCATTGCAGCTGCCTGCATGCCTTGCAGAAGGCAAGGGACATGCTCGACAAGCGAGGCCTAAGCGTCTTCCTCCAGCGGAAGTAACGCTGGTACCTCAGGCTATCTCTGTCTAGCTCCTGCAGGTACTGAGCCAGGTCCTTTGGGCTCTGGAAATCATCCACATGGATGAAGGCGTCAGGGGGCAGGAAGCGTTCATAGTTCTTCCTGCTGGGCCCCAGGACCACAGGCACAGCCCAGGCTTCCAGAGCATTCCTCCACAGCTTCTCTGTGATGTAATCTGGGTGGAGGGAATTTTCGAATGCCAGGTAAAACTTGTACCTGGCCAGTGTCTCCATCATGTCCCCTTGGGGAAGCGGCATGTGACCTCGGCCATACACGTCCACATGGAGGTGACTCTGAAGGTTCTGGTAGTACAGCACCCGAGCCGACTTGGAGTTCCAGTTGGACACAGCCCAGGCCACCAGGTCAGTCTTGACAGACAGGTTGACCTGGGTTTGGACTGGAGGCTCTGGCCACGGCTCCAGCCAGCCATAGGGCGTGAAGATGTCAGAGTCAGCGCGATAGGACATGGTGAGGTTGAAGTGACCGTCCAGGTCTGACAACCGGCTACAGTGGCTGGGTGACTCCAGGCTGAACCACACCCAGCGCTGGCCTGGTGGCCTTGGCTGAAGTGGCAGCTGTGACCTGGGATTGGCGCTGACTTCGCGGTGGTGGATGATGACGGCATCTGCTTGGGCGTACAGGTCCCGGTTGGTGGTCAGCTGGCAATCGGCCGTGCCTGGGAGCATCTCAGAGCAGGGGGACAGAGCCACTGGATTGTGGAAGGGCCATGTCCACAGTAAGATGAGGAGGGGCCTGGGGACAGGGGTGGCTGGGGTGGAGGCTGGTCCTGGGGAGCTACCAGGAGTTGGGGGCCTGGTTTGGTCGTAGGACACTCGGATGTAGGAGAAAAAGCAGAGAGCCAACAGCAGCTGCAGCAGCAGGCCTGTGAGGCATGGACGCCAGGGACACTGTGCCTTGGCCGCTCGGGGCGTATCCATGGCCTGGGGGACCTGGGAAGAGAGGGGAATAATAGGAACAGGAGGTGCGAATGGTATTATTTACGGGCATTTTAAATTTTCAGAAGGGTCCTGTGTTGCCCAGGCTGACCTGTAATAGCTAAGTAGCCAAGGATGACGTTAATGCCTGGCCTCTCTGGCCTCCATCTCCTGAGTGCTGGGGTGACAGGCATGTGCCACCATGTCCAGCTAAATCTTGATAGAAGTTATCGCTTCCTATATGATGGAGGATAGAACTCAAAGGTCTTCACTTACAGCAAAGAACGAGAGACCGAATGACCCCTCAGGTCCCCCTCCTCCTAAATGCTGGGAGAAATATCCCTCTACTTGGTCCCCAGGAAAGGTTGCTCTCTGGTCTCATGCTGTGGATGATTGATTGATTGATTGATTGATAAAACACTGATTGGCCAGTAGCCAGGCAGGAAGTATAGGCAGGACAAAGAGAGAGGAGAAGTCTGGGAACTGGAAGGCTGAGGCAAGGAGACTCAGCTGCCACCATGAGGAGCAGGATGTAAAGTACCGGTAAGCCACAAGCCACGTGGCAAGCAAGGTACAGATTAATAGAAATGGGTTAATTTAAGATATAAGAACTAGATAGCAAGAAGCCTGAGCCATTAGGCCAAACAGTTTAAATAGTATAAGCGTCTATGTGTCTATTTGAGTCTGAGTGACTGCCGGCCCAAGCGAGACTGGAGATAACTCCAGCTACAAATGGCGCCCAACATGGGGCACAAATTTCCACCTAAAACCTGAGAAAGAAGATTCTAAAACGTAGCTAAAAACAGCTTCCTAGTTGTCTCTCTGAAGTTAGCCACAGCCTGCAGGCTTGAGCTCCTATATGGCAAGTTCCTGGAGTGCACGCTTGACCTGCAGTATGGCGGAAATGAGATGTCTACAAGCGGCACAAACACACTGCCTGGTGGATTTAGCCTTTGCTAGTACAGGAAAAAAAAAAGGTTTCTGGGCTACACACTGCTCTGATAGAGGCATAAACCCACTGTCTCCAGAGGTGAACATGGTTCCTCTGAAGCTGGGATTAAAGTACCATCTCCATGTTGGGAAGCTGAAGTGAGTGGAGCCACCAGCCAAAGCTGCTATTTTAACCCTAGTAATGCTGCAGTTTAAAGCAATAGATTCACAATAAGACAGATTCAGATGGAACAAGACTTTAAATGGTTTATAATGTGTGTAAAAATGTACATAGGCTTGAAAGAGAGAAAATAAAAGTAATATATACAATTATATAAAGAAATAGTTTTTAAAAATAAAGTCTTCAAAGAGACAGTAAAGGTAATATAAAAAATAAGCCATGTAAAGATAGATATCACACAGAATCTAAATTGTGTTGTCTTTGGGATTTTTAACTACAGAGAGATATTTGATTGTAAAGGCAGCTGAGTTAAACCAATATGTATATTTTAAAGGTACCTTGACTTCAAAATTTGGATCTAAGGACATGTTGCTTTGGAAAGGAGGCTCTGCTTTTGTTTCCACAGAAAGCCAGAGGCTATGGATTTGTTCCAGATTAAGTAACATCAGGTTTGACCAGCCAAGATCCCCTAAAAGGTCTCTGATGACACCATGGCCCAGATGATCCAACATCCAGAACGGTTTCAAGGCAATTGTCTCAGACAATACAGCCTCACAGATTACCCTATAATCCTAAAATTTTATTTATGTCCCCATAAGAGTACAACACCCTCCTCCAAAAGGAAGTAGTAAGAGAAGCTACGCCCAAATTCCCAAATATACCAAGCTGGCTTTGGAGATAAAATTGGCTCATTCCTTCTCTAAATACATTCATATTGATCCTTTTGTTTCATATCAGAAGAGCGTTCTGGTATGGGACAGAGAAAAACCAATATTTTTATTTAAAACAGGTTGCTTATAAATACGATCTCTTCCTAAAGAACAAAAGGAGACAGTATAGACAATGATAAGATAAAAGGGTAGATTATCGAATCTACTTTTTTTTTTTTTTTTTTTTTGGTTTTTCGAGACAGGGTTTCTTTTGTGCCTTTCCTGGAACTCTCTCTGTAACCCAGGCTGGCCTCCAACTCACAGAGATCTACTTGGCTCTGCCTCCCAAGTGCTGGGATTAAAGGCGTGTGCCACCACTGCCCAGCCTTGAATCTACTTTTAAAGAGCAACTTGTTTAAAAATGTTTTACATTGCTATGGATTTTAGTTTATTGATACAAGTTTAAACTTAATTTTGTTATATTATATATATTTCTACTGTATATATATTTCTACTCTTGTTTGAGGTATTATGTTTATGTAATCCATTTAGATTATAATGGATAATTAAGAAATACAGATTAATAATTAGTCTTCTATGATAGTCAAACTTATAGTCATGTTATTTTCTAGGTATACATAGATATAATTCAATTAGGTAGGTAATCTTCAAACACTTCAAAGACCTACAGAATATGGCATTTAAAATGTTTTTAATATTTATGGGCTGGAGAGATGGCTCAGTGGTTAAGAACACTGGCTGCTCTTCCAGAGGTCCTGAGTTCAATTCCCAGCAACCACATGGTGTCTCACAACCACCTGTAATGGATCTGGTGCCCTCTTCTGGCCTACAAGGACACATGTAGACAGAACACTGTATGTATAATAAATAAAAAATTAAAAATTTAGACTTTCTGGACAGTGAGACATGTCTGCTCCTGGCAGCACCAATTTACTTCAGAGAGGATGATGGGCATTGAAGACACTCCATATGGAGTTTATCTTCACCTTGACAAACATAGCCATTTGGGCAAAAAACCGTTCTTGCCTGGACTGCTTAAAAAAAAAAATGTATCGACTGGACATACAGGACCCATAGGAAGGTGACCACTGAACTTTGCTTGGCAAAATGGCCCTTCAGGTTCCTGCTTCACAGAGGAAACTGACAGGCATGCTACAGGATGCAGAGAGAAGTGACTGAGAGACTCTAGGCCTGTGGGCTGAAGACAGACGCCCCAACTTTACAAGAGAACTTTGGATGACTGTCCAGGCTGCCAGCTGTCTCTGTCTACCCTACAAGACTCCCGAAAGTTGCTTACATCCTTCTCCCGTTTCTCAGGTATATTATATCCTTCTGAGGTCTTTGATGTGGTTAAAGACTAGATAGTTATAATTTCCTTAGTTGTGATAAGAGATAAGTTAGATATGAAACCTTAGACTCACAAATATAAGATAGATAGGATATTGTTTTTAATTTTGCCAAATACAAATAGACTAGTTATAAATAGACTAGATATTGTAGCTGTAATTCTTGCTTGATAATTGTTTTGTTATATGTAATTTTACTATGTTAAAGTTAAACCTTCCTTTTGAAAAAAAAAAGAAAAAGGGCAAGTGCTATGGCTGATTGATGGATAAATAAAATGTTGATTGACCAGTAGCCAGGCAGGAGGTATAGGCAGGACAAAGAGAGAGGAGAAGTCTGGGAACTGGAAGGCTGAGGCGAGGAGACGCTGCCAGCTGCCACCATGAGGAGCAGGATGTAAAGTACCGGTAAGCCACAAGCCACGTGGCAAGCAAGGTATAGATTAATAGAAATGGGTTAATTTAAGATATAAGAACTAGATAGCAAGAAGCCTGAGCCATTAGGCCAAACAGTTTAAATAGTATAAGCGTCTGTGTGTCTATTTGAGTCTGAGTGACTGCCCGCCCAGGCGAGATTGGAGATAACTCCAGCTACAGTCCCACCCGGACTCCACCATTTCCCAGCTCTTCTCCAATTTCAGGGAATAGAGAGCTGGGTAGAAAATCTCACAGAAGTTTCTGGAATTTTGATTCTAGGATTCTGGCTGAAAGGGGTAAGACGGTAAGGTTTGAGGCTGTGTAAGAAGTCCCACATTCATCCAGTAGATGAATTTCACTTTTGAGAATCTCTGCTCTCAGAGATGCACCATCTCTGACCCATGCAGTCCTGGAACCATCCATCTTACAAAAGGGGAAACCGAGGCTCAGAGGCAGGCATCTAGCCATGTACACTTCAGTCACCAATGACCCAGACCTGCCATTCCCCCTGCCCCAACTTCCCTCCACTTACCAGTTACTGCCCCAATCCACAGACAGCCCAGGTCTATAGGATGATGGGATGCCATCTTCTGGTGCCTTCTAACTAGGGGACCATAGAGCCCTTTCAGCATGGTTATTGGGAGCTGCATAGGTCAACGTCAGTCGTCTTCCTCAGTTGTTCTCTGCCTTACATTTAGAGACAGAGTCTAGATGGTTCAGTTGACTAGGTCCCAGTGATCCTCCTGTCTCCACTTACCCAGCCCTGGGATTTGAGGCATGTACATATACAGGCATTTTTATGTGAGCACCAGGGATTTGAACTCAGGGCCTCATTCCAGGGTGGCAAGCACTTTACAGACTGAGCCAACTCCCTAGCCCTTATCTTTTGGATTTTTGAGATAGCCCAGGCTAGCCTCAAACCCATGGTGCTCTCCCTAGTTTGGCCTCCTTAGGTGCTGTGGTATTCCACCATGCCTGGCTTAAGCATCCTGTAAATACTGATACTCAGGACAGGTGATAGCTTAGCTGTGACCAGCACCAGCTGCTCTTGCTGAGCACCCAGATTCCATCCCCAGGACCCACACTGCAGGCAGCTCACAACCATCTGTACCTGCTGTCGGGTGTCCTGTATGCTGTGAATATATGTTGCTATGATTGATAAATAAAAAGCTGATTGGCCAGTAGCCAGGCAGGAAGGATAGTGTAGGTGGGACAAGGAGAGAAGAGAAGGTTGGGTGGAAGGAGGCTGAGGCAGAGAGACGCTGCCAGCCACCACAAAGAGAAGCATGACGTAAGATACTGGTAAGCCTTGCCGGGCGGTGGTGGCGCATGCCTTTAATCCCAGCACTTGGGAGGCAGAGCCAGGCGGATCTCTGTGAGTTCGAGGCCAGCCTGGTCTACAGAGTGAGAAAAAAAAAAAAGGCACAAAGCTACACAGAGACACCCTGTCTCAAAAAAAAAAAA